TTCTTCAGCAAGACTGACCTCAAGAATAAAGTGGGCGGTGGAGAATCATGTACTTTACTAGAGGAAAGATTAATATAAATGCAGCTAATAAAATAAGTATTGCCAGACTATGTTCCTGAGCTTTACAAACTCACCATAGCTCTGAGAACCATAATTTTACACCATAAACCTGACCCAATTTATTTAGGTGTATTGCTAGACCTTGAGCCACCAAAGGTCATAGAATCATGGAGTTAGAAAGGGTGTTGTGGATTATCTAATCCAAGTCCCCTGCTCAATGCAGGAAAATCTCAGTATCCCTAATGAATGACTGTTTATTCTCTGTGAGCAGGCAGAGGTAGAGGAACAGACACCCCTCCACACACATGTAATCAATTTTGCCAGTCAAGTGATTTCAAGGTCAAATAAGCTTACTATTGTAATGAACAAGAGAGGAACTTTTTGAAGTATTCAAAGAGACCCTACAAATGACCACCAGCAACATCACCACACAGACATGAGGTCTCAAAAGGGAGGTCCTTGACTAACCTGAAGCCTTTTACAACCCTCAGTTCAAACCAGCTGAGATGTCACTCTGGGACAGAATGAACTTGGCCAAGAAAAGCTACTTACCTGAACTGGCCCTGTCATAATCCACTCCGTAGCCATTGTACATAGAAGGTGCTGGACCCATGGGAATCATAGTAGGTGGGGGTCCTGATTTCAGTTGGCTGCTGGGTGCATAGATGCTAGGTACATAAATGCTTGGAACTCCAGTAGTTGCAGCTTTTCCTGCAAGGTAGACTAAAGAGAGACAAGAACTATAGCTTAGATGATATCAAACCTGGGAAGTAAGAACTTCAAAATAGATACAGTGGTACCTCACAAGACGACGACCCCGCTAAACAACAAATCTGCATAACGATGACTTTTTGCAATCGCTATAGCGATTTGCAAAACAGTCATTCCAATGGGGGATTTTCGCTGGACGTTGATTAGGTTCGTGCTTCACAAACCGTTTGTTCGCAATACGATGATTTTTACAGCTGATCGTTGGCTTTGCAAAATGGCTGCCCTGTGTTTTCCAGACCCATGCTTTGCAGGGCAGCCATTTTTACAGCTGATCGGCACTCGCAAAATGGCTTCCCTATGGGCAATCGTCGCTGGACGACGAGGTATTTTCCCAACTGGAATGCATTAAACTGGGTTTCAATGCATTCCAATAGGGAAATGGATTTCACATGACGATTTCGATAAACAGCAATTTCAATGGGACGGATTATCGTCATCATGCAGGGCACCACTGTATGCAGCACTTTCCTAATCAAAACGCTCCAACACATGTTGTCTGCTCATGAAAGACTGCATGCGGTTATCATCATCAACTCTCAAGGGAATGTATACGGACACACTTCATTTAACTCTGTGATCAAATACTAACGCTCCCTTATCATGGTTGTGCATCCACAACTCTAGCAGTACAAAGCTTCTGCTGGAATCAACATAATCATCCAAATGGCAGTTCTTGAAGATCTTGAAAAAACATGTTAAGCATACAAATGAACAACAATTCGAATGTATGTTATGTTTAAAGTTGTCCTTAGACTAATTTCTCCTCTGTGAGGGTCAGTAAAAATGACTTGGCACTTGTCCCATTAACTGAACTCATCAAAAATAACTTACACATGTTTGTGCATACCTTTCAATGAAAGGTTTTTCTAATACAGTATATTAATTATGTCCATATAAACTTAGAATACAAGGGATATACTGTAGCATCTATATCTGCATCTGTTTTACATTCTGTCAGGCCATTGGAATGTTCACTATGGCAAAAAGAAACCACCAAGCATATATTCGTAAATATTAAATATTTGCTTTTTCAAATGCTTGTTTTGCAAAATTAAGAGGTAGAATCTGTATGAAATATCTCGGGAGCTTCTGTGAACTTGGGCGGAAATGAAGGCCATCAAAACAGAAACAGCATGACTTTGAACACACCCAAGTCAGGAATCCAGAAACTAGATCAGGGCTCCGCCTTACAACACCATCCCAGACAGGATGTCCTCCACAGTGCCCACAGTTTTGCAGCAGCAACCTCCTGAAACTATTTAACACAGGGAAGTATTTACATTTTTAAATCAGCGTCAGGCTGCTTCAGAAAAATGACTGGCTGCTTGGACACAAGAGCTCCAAGTGTTTCGACTGAAGAGGGAGGCATCACCTTGTGTGCAGACTCACAGTTAGAAGGATGTGTCCTGGGGCAAGGGCAGATGGCACAGGCCCCTTGTTGCAAACCAGGGCTGAGGAAGGCCCTGGTTTCGAGAACAAGACTTACGTGCTTCGGGGCAGCAGCACTTCTCTGGGCAACAGGGGCATCGGACGTAGCAGCAGCACGTGTGAGGGCAGCACTGGCACCAGCAGATCCCCAGCAGCAGAAGGAGCAGAAAAAACCCAAGCACCACCAAGACGACAAAGAGCCAGTCTGGGAGAAGAGAAGGGGGAGGAATAGCCTTTTTTGAGACACAGCCAAAAATAAATCCCATTTCATTTGGGAAGTAAAGCTGAGCCATCTTGGCAGCTTCTACAAGCAGCTGGCAACCTGTCATTAGGCAAAATGAATGGCTCTTGGGGTTTTGTTTTGAGGTTTTTTTATGCAAAGGGTACTGAACATCATACTTCTAAACATGAACATCCTGCCCCTAAAGGCATCTAGACATTCTAGGCAACCTGATAATGTCAGTCTCTTCCACATCATAGTCCTGTTAGATCCAGGGCTGGGTTGGCCCTGATAAGGATGGGATACTGTCCCCTAACTGATTCAGGAACGCATATACCCTGGCTGAATAATGGGACTGGGACCACTCATATTGGCAGGAAGTAAAGGAGCCCCCTCATCTCAACACCATTTCTGTGCCACTTGTACCCCTCGCTGGCCACAGGGAATCATCAAGACTACCGTGGTGCAGCAGGGCACTTATCTAATGGCTCAAAGCAGCAGCATGGGAATGACACGAAGGCAAGAGGCTGCTCTTATCTCCCACCCGTTTGAAGGCTCCCAGGCCTAAAATTCTGCCAGGGAACTCCTGCCAGATTACAAAACCAAGAGTTCTTTAATTCCAAAAATTCCACTCATAACCACTGATATCAATGGATCCTGGTACACCGTGGAGCCAAAGAGAAGCTCCCAACCACTGAACTCCCAGGGGCTTCAATAATCCGCTTATTTATTCTATGTCCTATTGAATTCATTAGCAGCCCACAGCATCAGGCCTGCATCCTGCCTTAATCACTTCCAAACTCCTAAACTTCGAAGTTTCCCTCTTTCTTATCATGCTTAGAGTCCTGTCTTTCTTGAGTGAGCTCAAAACATCAATGTGTCCCTCTTCCATACTTCTAGCCTTAGTGAGGCAGGGCTAAACTATGAAAGAATGAGTGGCCCAGGGCTACATAGTAAGTTTTGCACTAGAACCCAGAGTTTCCAGGTTCCAGTCCAACACCCTTACCAGCACACCACGCTTATTCTTTGAGCAGCACTAATGTCTATGCAGACTTAACAAACCATGTTTGGGAACCTTGCTTTCCAACCAATCTCATTCTGCAAGAAAACATCAATCCAGTCCTTCAAATTAAGTCATTTTTAAACCATAGTGAAAAGCCAAAAAGACAGGCAACAGTTGATCAGTAGGCTAGGACACCAAATAGTCGTTTTCACACATAATTTGCCAGCAAATCCAGGTTTGCCAACACACATTGGCAATTTCTTTTTTTGGGGGGGGGAGGGAAGTGCATTGCATGCCCAAGAAATGTGATGTGCGTAGCAGACCACAAATCGTGTTACCAAATCAGCTGCTCTAATGCACCCTGCATCACACAACCACTCTGCTTAAGCCAACACCCCTACAACAGGAACAAAGGATGTTTTCTTATTTATGGGACATTGTTGCAGTTCTTGTTCTGTTATTGAAAGAAGGCGAGGATCAGGAAAAGTCTAGAATGTGTTCCAATGAAGACACCATAGTAAAAGTTGAAACTCTTACAAGAAAGGAAGAGAGAAAACAAGCATTTGGAAATCTTTTTCAAAACAATCCTACTTCTGCCCTTGAGAGATGCCACGATAGCAAGAATTAAAGAACCAGAGTAAATCCCACCCTCTTTCAGATTCCTCCCCTCACCCTGAAAGATAGCATGGAAGAAGGAAGCAAAGCCAGTACCTTCCATATGCCCTATCTGAAAGCCTGGCAAAAGCTCTGAGACACCGGAGGATTTGCCTACAGAACAAAACAGAAAAGACACAGAAAAAGTTACCAAATACAGTGGGCTGCCCTAGAGGCAGGCACTTTGGGGCTAGAGATGGGGGTTTAAGGCATCCACTCAGTTGTGTCCCAGTACAAGAGGCCTTGGCAAAGAAAAGGACTGAGTACCTCTGACAAATAAAGAGCACTGCCTTTGGGCAATCCTAGGAAAGCTGGCTTTTCGCCCTCTGAGCAAGGATGAACCAATATCATGGCTTCCATGTAGGCCTCCATTTCTCCTATACCTTTTCAAAGCTTGGGAAACTTCTATTCTTATTCTTATTCTTATTATCATCATCATCAACTCCTAGAATGTCCCAGCTGCTGGGGGGCTGTGCAAGCTGCAGTCCAAATTCTCAATCAGTGGTCTTTCCTCTTATTTTCCCCACTCCTTGGGCTTCCTCCTCTTTTTTCTCTATTTAGTTGAATTTTGTCATTGCTGTTCTTTCCTCTCCATTTCATAAGGTGGGGGTTCTCTCTATTGCCAATTTTAAAACTTGCTTTTAAAAGAAAAGCACCATCATTGGGGGTTTGCTCCAAGTGACTCATGTACATGTGGACAGATAGGCAACTAGTCAAATAATTGCCAGTCTGACACGTCTGAGGAGTTTGCAAAGTTGCTTAACAATCTCCAGGCTTGTTTCTTCACTGGACTTGCTTTGCGACACAGGAGAAGTCAAAAGGGAAAAAATAAAATTGAGCAAGGCCTAATGGATGCATGGGATTCCTCAGAAGCAATAAGAAGAAAAGAGAGCTCTAACCTCACCATTCCACACAATCACACACACACACACACAAACTGCCCCTAAGTGTGCTTAAAGATACTCAACACTGAATGCAAGACAAGCATGCTTAGAGTTTACTTTTAGCTACAGGAGCCCCAACCTTAACTCCTCGTACATAGCACAAAACATTAACATCTCCTACAGCTTCTACAGTTACAAGTACTGTATCAACATCTTTGAGTTCTCTGCACATGTCTCATTCCTGACCTTCACCTACAGAGAGATTCATGGATCTGCCATCAGATATCTTACTATAGAGCACAGCCCTTCTAATACTTCCCAAAACAACCTTCTTGATCCATCAGGGATCCTCTCATAAGGCCTGATTTCCACATACTTATTCAGCTCAACTGGCTTCATTTCCCTGAAAATCATCAGGCTGGAGTGGAAATACAGAGATATCCCAAGTTTCATACTCAACAGTTAATCCACACTGGGTGCCTCACAAGCACAAGGTCTAATTTCTCCTCCACAAGAAGCGATGAACATTCAAGTATTAAGTTGCCCTAAACTAAACCAAGCTAAGTCCACAGCTGATCAAGGATGGCAATAGAGATAAGGAGCAACATTCCTGCTGTCAACCTGCCTGTGTTGCTGATAGAGTGCCTGCAACCCTCCCCCCCCCACACACACAACACAAAACCCTCTGGAGAAGAATGTTTGGAAGGGCATTTCCTTGCTGTAAACAGCTGACATTTTTCAGAACAATAAATCTTGGCACAGGCAAGTACATCAAGTTCCCAGCACAGAGGGGGGTACCTCATTTCTGGCAGAAAAAGAGAAGGAAAGGAATGGAGGGAAGGAGGGGAACAAGAGAACAGGAACTAGCAGGATGCAGATATGGGTTCCAGGGGGATCCTGCTATCAGAAAAGGAAACAGGTTTCCAGTCTTTAACCAACTCGGAAGCAAAACATTGAGGCAACTATACTGCAAGCAAAATGGGTTTATAGCCTCTTCAAGGTAGCTCGGAGGTATTTTTAAGTGCCTGCTGCTTCTCCTTCTAGTAGTGAGAACTTCCACAGAGCCCTAAAGAAGAATGTCTGGATGTCAACAACTTAATTTGGTGGGAAGAGAATTCGGTCACAGGTTTTAAAAACTAATTAATTTACTTGTAAGGCAGGCAGCACCAGCAAGTGGTCATACAGGATCAGAGGTGGAATCTACCACAACCCACATCTCCTAATATCCAGTATCCCCTCTGGAATCAGAAGCAATATGTCTTTTTCTACCAATTGCTTGGGGTGGAGCAAGCGATTACATTATACAGTATCCTGCTCGGGTTTCTCACAGGTAACCTGCTGGACACTATGAAAAAAATGCTGAACAAGACAGACTTGGGTCCTAATAGGCTTTGGCCTTTTAAGGCAAGGCTCTTCCTAGGTTTTTCAACTCATCAGGAAGGCATGGAGCCCAAAGAGCCCTCTGCTGTTGCTTGCCTTCATTACACAGTACACAAAAGATATGTACTGCATCGAGGTTTCAATCAGCTAACACTGTTAACAGCTTTGGACAGATTACACTCTTCTTCCTCTTGCCTAATCCTTTTTCAAAAAGGAACATCAATGCCACATCTCATTTTTGGCTCCTTTCCATTAGGTCAGTGATTCCCAACCTTGGGTCCCGAGATGTTCGCGGACTGCAACTTCCAGAAATCCTGGCCAGCACAGCTAGTGGTGAAGGCTTCCGGGAGCTTCAGTCCAAGAATATCTGGGGACCCACAGAACCACTGAGATTTGATGCTTTGCACAGCTCCATATTCTTAAACAGAAAGCCTACCTATACCTCTTATTTTCCTCAAATGAAATACACAGGGTGTATTCTCAAGTACTATGGCTGCAATAACTGCTACAGCTCTATTTTCTTCATCTCCAAATTACAAGAAATTGAAGGAGACAATTTCAACATTGTTAAACACCACTTCAGGCTATATGTTCTGTGCCAACACAAACTTTTTTTCCCCAACACAAAATTCAGCATTGGAAATCCCAGCAGCTTCATTTTTTAAAAGCAAGTTTCTAGCCCTGAGAGATGTAGAGGGAAATTTAGAAAGGGTACATAGTACAGACTTTGCAAACAGATGCATTATTTGACCCCTCATAGAAAAGCAGCATGCCTGGTGTTGTTGTTTTACATAGATAGCTCTGTGCTTCTGCAGATTATGGAGAAATACAAAATGACTTGAAAATCAACTACATGTAATCTTGCCTAAGCCACTGTATGCAAAAGCAAGGCTCACTTATTGTGTTTAAAGAAGGATACAATTCCCCAAGGTCAGGACTAATGTTACAAAATAAGTCTTTTGCCATAGAAAAGGGAAAAAAATCACTATGCCATCCTCGCCACTTCCACTTAAAACTGGTTCTTCCACCGAAACACACACACAGCCAAGAAAGAAAGAGCACTGTGTACACAGCAAACAAAGCTCAAACCTGCACCTTGGCTCCAGTTCAGAGAGATTTGCTTTGTCCCCCCCCCCCAAAAAAAAACAGAACCTGAAAATAGCTGGTTTGCATATTCCTATGGTTGAATGGCCTTGGACACATCCACGGTGGGGCAAAGGTGGGGAGAAAAAAAGAGAGTAAAGAGCTGCTACAGTCATAGCAAACCTAGATGCAAAGCACCAGGCTCAATGTGATGGACAACTAAGTGGCACAAATGGTACGCCTGGATGCATCTAGTGTGAGACAGGCGACACAGTGCTGAGGTTTCATGCATGTACCTCTCAAACTGGACCTATAGAAAAAGACTCACTCATCAGTCTGGCAGGGGAGTCTTCCAACTCCATTTTGTTTAATAACAAACAAAAACATGGATCCCCTTGCCAAAGATGGCTGCTGAAATGGAGGAAGCACAGGGGAAAAACCAGGACTGGATTTGTATGTGAAAAGATGGTAAGCACAATTCTGGTACTAACTCTTGGTCTGGACAAATGCTCTGAACTATAGAAGAGCCTCATGGCGCAGTGGTTAAACTGCTGTCCTGCAGCCAAAACTGTGCTCATGATCTGGGGTTCAATCCCAGGTAGGTGGCTCAAGGTTGACTCAGCCTTCTATCCTTCCGAGGTCGGTAAAATGAGTACCCAGCTTGCTGGGGGGGGGCAATGGGTAACCCGCATAAATAACTTGTAAACCGCCCGGAGAGTGCTTGAAGCGCTACGGGGCGGTATATAAGCAGCACACTTTGCTTTTTTGCTTTTTGTTGTTTACTTTAAAGCACAAGGCACCTATCTAACTAATGAACCACTATTTTGTACTTGTTGAGCCTCAGAGTATTAATTTTTTTAAAAACCTAGCAAGGCTCTAATCTGGCCACTCCTATCCAGGTCAATAGAACAGACTGGAGCAGTAGAGACAACAAACAAGAAGAAGTAATAATTCCAAATGTCCCTTCTGTTAAACTCACAGAGGTCAAAAACTTGCCACAGATAACTGTGTTTATGGGCAATTTTTCAAGCATGATTCCTCTCTTGCTTTCCATCGGGTCTGCAATCATTTTACCAACTAGAGGATTTAAGGAGCACAACAGACAGATAGATGGGGGAAGGGATTTTTTGGGAAAAGGAACTCCCAGTCCCATAATTTGTCAGCACACACACTCCATCTGAATTATGGGATTGGGAGCCATCAAATGGCAAGAGGTACAGCAGGCCTCACTGCACCTTTCCTTGCAACTCACAAGGGTTCCAATGGACAGCCCCCATCAGAATTTGTTCTCCCGTGCACCTTGCAGGTCACAAGTGGTTCTCCCAGCTCACAAAGGTGCAGCAGAGCACTTTACAGAGTACAAAGAAATGGCACAGGAACAGCAGGGAGGAGGTAAAAGCATTGCTCTATCACCTGTCCTTTGACAGCTCCCAGTCCCATAATCAGGCCTGCAGGACTCCCACCAAATTATGAGACTAGGAGTTCTTTTCTCCCAAAAGTATCATCCCTACCAACAACTAAACAAACAGGGTCACTTGCACAATTGCCCATACACACTAAATAATCCATATGAGATTCTGGCCGGAGAAACCAATTCCTGCAGAGATAAATCAAAGAGAACTATAACTAGCCCAGCTTGGTCCCTGTATGCTGGTTTTCTTCCTGTCAGGTTTGTTGTTTTTTGTAATCAACCAATTGTGGCTGCACAATTTTAAAAAAAACATCATTCTTACCTACAGTATGAAAGACACCCATTTCACAGAGTCATGCATAAATCAACCTTATTCTCCCTCTCTGAGTGGGCAGGACTTGGGAAGCAACCATAAACCATTAACTTTGAGAATGAGCCTAGCTTCCTTCCTTTCTGGGGATTAACCCAGTAGGCCCTGCTCGACTTGTATGAGAGCATCCTCACCTATGAAATCTCTCAAGGCATGTAGTCAAGCTGCTCTGACCTCTGAAATACAGTACTTACATGCTGTTGGAGTCTTGTGACTTACCCAACACAATGAGCTCAGCATAGGCTTCATTGTTGCCTTGCAAATCTTGAGATGATGTTACAGTGCAGTAGTACACACCGCTGTCCCCCCATGCCGTCTGCTCTATGCTGAGGTCAGCATCTACAAGAGGAGAGAAGGCAAAGCGAAAAAGAAATTAATCAAGGCAACCATAATGGTTTCTAAGGTATGTAAGATGTTCAAGGAGTATTGCCACTTGCGAACTAATTTCATAGCCAAGTAGATATTTGGACTCAGGTCTCATGAATCCCAATGCAGCACTCTATCTGTGACACCACACCAACTTGGAAGAGGAGGTAACAGCTCCCAAATCAGCATATCTTTAAGGATACTGTCAGGAAACAGAGGCAACATAATGATGAACTTATAAATGTGCTGCCTGGGTAGGCACCTTAGCTGGTTTGCAGCTCACTCTTCCGTGAAGGGTGTGAAAGTTCAGCCTTGCCTTTTCCCCTTTGTTCCCCCTTTTAAAAAATTCTTCAGAAACAATGAGTCTTCCTCCAATTGAAATCTGCACAGTATTTTGCTACATAATTAAAATGTTCTTCCAGCTCAAAGTTTATGATAAGCCTCTGAAAGCATCTTAGGCTGAAAAAACGAACACGGTTCCTTGCTAGAGCTTGTTGTTGGGACCTTAAGGAGATTCTAAGGAGTTCAACTTTTATTTTATCTGAACACATGTATGAACAAAGCAGACAGGCAAGTTGTTTTAAAATAAACATGTCAATTTTAACTCATGGTGATCCTTTTCAGGGTGTTCTAGGTAGAGAGCACTCAGAAGTGGCTTATTATTCACTTCTTCTGGGGGCATCCTGGGACTGTGTAGCTTGCCCAAGGCCACACAGGATGGTTTTACTTGCACAATGTAAAGTGGGGAATTGAACTCCCAGCCTTTGGCTCTGCAGCTGGATACCTAAACCACTGAGTTATCCAGCCAATAAAAGTTAACATACTGTGACAAAAATGCTAAATAACCTTTTTCTAAGTGACAGTAAGGGAATGTCTGGACTGAATATTTTATATCTGTCACAAAGCCAACAGGAGTCACTTATTAAAAATCCGTAATTAGTACAGGGAAAAATGCAGTTGATGGGATACTAGGGGAACGACCGATAGCTAAGATTTGCAGGTGGAAATAAACACAACAATGTATTGTTTAGCTGTCCCATTTGGATTGCTTCCAGTTCTTAATATCTATAAGCAAAACTGCTTACATCTTTTTCAAATTTATTTTAAAATTCAGACTTTTTAGAACTATCATTCTCCCTGCTCAATCCACAATGCAACAATTACTGAGGCTCTGTGGAATCTTTTTATTCTACAGAATTACACTCTGTTTGGGGGGCTATACTTTTATCATTTGGTTGTGTTTGGGGGCAGGGATATTAAGTATATTTTACTTTTCAGATTAAACCTTCTGGTTTATAATTCTAAAGGAACCAGGAGCCATACACATAGTCTTGAACTCACTGGAAGAAATGCAGAATAGAAATGTAACAAAGAAATGAAAGAATGGAAGCATATTCTACAGACTGGTCATTTCCATCATCTGATCAACCCCAAACTACACCAAGTGTTAACTGAACCCTTCCATGTTGTCTGTCAGGACAGCAATTACATGCTTAGAAAGTGCTGTGATGATGGAAAATGCAATGAAGCAAGTACATAATTAAAATATGTTTTTGTTAGCTAAGGCACTTGCTAACCATTTTTCATACCCCTGAACTCAATCCATGTAACTGGCAGAAAGAGAAAAAGACGCAGGGGTGGGTAGAAGATGAAACCACACAGATGTCTCAAAGAGGATCTTTTGACACATGAATCAGAGTTCTTTGTGGCACAGAAGAAGAAAAAATCTACTGTTTATCACACTGTAACTTATGTGGGTTTGCCAGGAGACAAGAGAGAACACCATGAAGTGTATTTGTTTTGAAACATGTTATCACAGGATCTAATTTCACCATGGACTTTTGACCTGCCAGAACAGTTAATGCTTATTTAGTCTTATTTTGACTCTCTTCTGAAATCTTTGCTGTTGACAGAGTCGTTTTAAACACATACAGATTTTTTAAAAAGGAGGTGGTGCTTATAGGATTTTGTGGAGCAACAGCCCAAGAGGAACACTGATTTTGTGATACACAAGATAAGATTGTGGAAAAGGTTGCTATGTTTGCTCCCAACATGCAAGAAACAAGGGCTGTATTTTTTAAAATGATTTCCTATGAATGTTTACTTGAGATAAAGTCCTCTATGTTTAAGATTGCAACTTAAATATAAACAATTTAATTTAAACAATTTTTATTAACTCAAACAACCCCCTAATTAATCTGTAAGCAGGTTCAATGCCATCTTATTGCAAATACTGGGAGCTTGGGAAAGTTCCTATTACAGACTACAACTCAACAATCAATATATAAAATGCAATACAATACAAAAGCAATAACTAATGAAAACAAACATCGAATTTATATTAAAGAGAATGTAATGAAAGTCAGCACACTCCATAAGTGACCTAAGACTTTCACTGGATGAAAACAATTAAGAAGGCCGGTACTGGCCATGGAAAACAATCTTTTCTCCATGTTACTTTACATTAAAGTTGATAACTTTCTGATCCTTCTCAACTGAGGGACAGTAAACATCTCTTCACCCTGTCTGCAAGTTCACACACCCTACAGCTGACTGAAATCAGTGATCTCCAACTTGCTATGAAGCTTTTAAGAACTTCAGCTATGTCTGCGGTTTGGACCTACCTGTGCAGACAAGATGTGGTATTTTATCTTGCAGCCAGCACTCAGTGCAGCTGTCTGATCCAAGGAGACATGCACACACACTCAGCAAACACACATCTGTGCACATTCTCCAGACACAAACACACAAAAGTTACCACTAGCTCTGTCTTTCTTTTTAAAAGCTCTGCGATAGGAAAATGTCCTTGCCTGTACAGTTCTATGCTTGCTTCTTGGTACATGTACTGAAAAACCTCAAGGAACTGGGTTAAGAAATCATAGAATCATGAAGTTGGAAGGGGTCTATAAGGTCATCGAGTTCAACCCCCCTGCTCAGTGCAGGAATACAAATCAAAGGACATCTGTCAAATGTTTGCCTAAAATTCTGTTAAATGCCTCCAGTGTTGAAGCACTCACCACCTCTCAAGGTAATTCATTCCACTGCCGCACTGCTCTAACAGCTAGAAATTTTTTCCTGATAGTCAATCAAATTTATTTTCTGTAACTTGATCGCACTATTACATGTTCTGCATTCTGGGATGATTGAGAACAGATCTCACCCTCTTCTGCATGACAGCCTTTCAAGTATTTGAAAAGTGCTATCATAACTCCCCTCGGTCTTCTTTTCTCAAGGCTAATCACGCACCCTGATCATCCTTGTTGCCCTCCTCTAAACATATTCTAATTTGTTGGCAACCTTCTTGAAGTATGGTGTCCAGAACTGGATACAGTACTCAAGATGAGACCTAACCTGTGCTGAACAGAGAATTAGTACCTTCTGGGATTTGGAAACTATACTTCAGTTAATGCACCTAAAATAGCATTTGCCTTTTTTGTAGCCACATCACACTGCTGGCTCATACTGTATACAACTCCAAGTTCTTTCATGCTCATAGTATTGCTGAGCCAGGTATCTAATTTGTAACTATGTCTGTTTTCTTTTTCCTAGGTGCAGTACTTTGCATTTATCCCTGTTGAATTTCCTTCTATTATATTCAGTCCAATGCTAAACCTATCTAGATCATTTTGAATTTTGTTTCGGTCTTCCAGAGTATTACCTATTCCACCCAATTTTGTGTCATCTACAAATTTGATTAGCATTCCCCGTATGCCCTGATCCAGGTCATTATTAAAAAGGTTGAAGAGCACTGGGCCCAGGAGAGATCCCTGAGGCTCCCCACATTACCTCCTCCCAGTTAGAGGACCCATTAATTATCACCCTCTGAGTATGATTCTGTAGCCAACTGTGTATCCACCGGATATTTGTTCTATCCAGCCCACACCTATTTAATTTGATAAACAGAAGATCATGGGGCACTTTGTCAAATGTTTTGCTAAAATGAAGACACACAATGTCTACAGCAATCCTTCTATCAGGGAGGTTACCCAATCAGAAAATGAGATCAGATTAGTCAGGCAGGATTTGTTCTTGACAAATCCATGTTGGCTTCTAGTTATTACTGCTTTGTTTTCTAGACGTTTGCATAATGGCCGCTTTATAATTTGTTCCAGAATTTTCCCTGGGATTGACATCAGGCCGACTGGCTTGTAGTTCCCAGGTTCCTCCGTTTTGCCTTTTTTTGTAGATAGGGACATTAGCCTTCCTCCAGGCATCTGGCACTTCACCCATTTCCCATGATTTCAAGAAAATAATGGCCAGTGGTTCTGAGACCTCTTCAGCCAGCTCCTTCAATACTCTTGGATGCAGTTCATCTCCCTGAAGATTTGAACTCTTTCAAGGCAATAAGGTATTCCTTGACCATTTGTTTATCAATCTCCAGCTTCCATTTTTTCCATCCACCTGCACTTCATATTTGTCTGTAGGGTCAAAGAAATCAAGAATTCTAAAAGAACATGTTCCACTCTCACCCAGACTTCCCCTTATTGCCGCTTCCTTTACAAGTTGTCTCTATTGGTTAGAAGCAAATCAAGGATGATTAGTCCTCTAATTTCTTTCCCTACTTTTTGTGGGAGAAAATGATCAGCCACACAAGCCAGGAATTTCTTGGAAGTGCCATACTTGGCAGAATTTGCCTCCCAACAGACATATATCTCTTTGAAATCCTTGCAGTTTATTTTTCAAAAGTTTCATTTGCATCCTCTCCTTGGCTGGGTGGTCAGTAGCAAACTCCAACTATCATGCCTGCACCCATGACCTGGTAGATAAGTTGGAGAGCTATTATCATTTGCACTTACCCACATGGTTAGCTGGGGAATATACAGTCTTCCAGATACCAGTGAGCTGTAGTTCATACAACCACTGACTATCATGACAAAATTTGCTGGCCAAAATGAGCTGAAGGGGCCGCCCAGTTTTAGACCACTGTGGTTAGCACACCTCCCTTTCTCAGGTAAAGGTTACTATCCCACTAACAACAATTACATTTACACCTGGGAATGCAAAGGTTGATAGACAATGTAGACATGTCTATGCTGTGGTTACTTGTCATCATGTCACATAAAGCTACCATACCCTATGTATAAATGATATCCAAAAGGCCCTGTCATTAACAACCCTGCTCTGCTCTTGCAAAAATATTTCTTGGAAAGATGAACATGCTTCAAACACTCAGTGTTAGGTTAGAATAGGAGAGCATTCCATCACAGGCAGTCTTGACATTCTCTAACCCAGTGGTTCTTAACCTTGGGTAACCCAGGTGTTCTTGGACTGCAAGTCCCAGAAGCCCCAACCAGCATAGCTGGTGGTGAAGGCTTCTGGGAACTGCAGTCCAAGAACACCTGGATTACCCAAGGTTTAATCTCTTGTAAGCAGAATTTAGAAACACTGGGAGGTGGTGGAATCTGGTTACACCTAGCCCACAGAGCTTCAAAAGAGAAAGTCTAGGGGAAGAATAATTACTTAACTTGTAGGTAAAGCTTTACAGGTGTTCAAAGCATTTCACATAACACACAATAATCTTTACAAGCTTACAAAATCTGATAATATCATACACATTACAGATGAAGTATATATGTAACTGCCCACTGCTCTCATCAAAACTGATGGCAACTGCAAGGGATATATTTTTTAAAAACATTATATAATAGACAGCAACAGGTTAACATAATCAAAATCATAACAAAATTAAAACAGTAAAAGACAGGAAGCAACACCAAGCAGTAATTCTGTAGCTGAGAATAGGATTTGAATGAAGATATTCCTAGCTCACACTTTAACATTAAAAATAAGCAGCTCCAGTTGAACAGTTCTGCTAAGAAAGCATCTTTGCAATTAACATCCTCAAATAGTAACACGAAAGAATTAAGGGGAATTATAGCAGATTCACCTCAATAGCGATATCTAATTAAATACACAAGTCATGAAGGCAGAGCATTTATGGTGCCTTTCTAAATCCATCAATCTGTGATGTTAGTTTTTTAATCTCTTGTAAGCAGAATTTTAACTGGTTGTTGTGGTTTTTTCCGGCTGTTTGGCTGTGTTCTTAAGGTTTTTCTTCTTAACGTTTCGCCAGAGCATCTTCAGAGAACAGGAGTCAGAACTCTGCCCATGCTATGGTGCAGTTTGTTTGGATAGTTGAGTATTTATAGTTGTGGGATCAGCTTTTGTCCTTTTCAGGAGATTGGGTGATTATGGTGATCAGCATGTTTTTTGTTGTGATAAGGGGGAGAGATTATCCACAGCAGGCAAATAGCAAGCAGTCTAAACTTCAGATGGAGCAAGCAAAAGCATTAGGACGAACACACAAATGATTTAATATACTAGCCCTCTGCCTTGACCATATATACTAGTGCTCAAGGTTCCCTCTCAAGACGTACAACTATGTGTGCGCACAACTCTGACCCCTCCACACAGCTTTCCTCCTCATATACTAGTGCTCAAGGTTCCCTCTAAGACATACAACTATGTGTGCGCACAACTCTGCCCCCTCCACACAGCTTTCCTCCTCTTGCTCCTCTGCACAGCCCCTTTGATTCCGGTTGTGACGGAATCCTGCACAGGGGGATCACATGTGCATGCAGGGGAGAAGTTGCACAAGAGAGAGGCAGTCCCACCCAGTGGAGCTGAAAGTTAGAAGGTATGTTTCTTGTGCTAATCATTTGTGACTTGTGGGAAAGCACCAGTTTTTGCAAAACTGGCTCTGTTTTCCAGAGAGATAGTTCTCTATCATCATCAATAACAAAGCCAATAGCAATTTAAGATTTCAAGAGAACTAGCTACTGGCATTTCATACTTACTATTAGTGATGGTGATGCGCCTGCCCTGGTAAAACTCCCCAAGAGTCACTGTGTTGCCTTGTTTGGTAGCCACCACTCGCACAGTTCGCGTATTGTCTTGGCACTCCACATAGGGATTGTATCCAGGGTTGGTCTGCTGTAGCTGATTGGTGACCAGGGTTTCCTGGCTGCTGGGGTTAAAAGCATCTGCCAGGCGGCTCCGGCAGTAAGACTTGTACTTCCACAAGACAATAGGTGGCTGGGTGGCTGAAGTCTGGTAATTGCATTGCAGAGTGACAGGCTGAAACAGAATGACCACATTGAATGGGTTCTGCACTGTGACTTGTATTGCAGTGGCAGGATCTAAGGACAAGAACAGATAGACAAGAAGGAGACTATTAAATGAGAAAACAGAACATGAATACCCATAGCTCCATTCAGAACATTTCTCTGCCATATTCATTCACTGGATGCATCCATACATCACAATAAATATCATAAGTCAATTTAAGGAAGTGCTAGCTTCTTGTGAATATAAAATCTCTTTTTAAGCAGGATGTAGGTCAAAGAGTTTTGCTGGAACAAGTTCATTGAGCAAAAGCTTACCACTTTTCAACAGACAACAAGAACAGGTCTGAAGAAAGCCTGTGAATGGAATGAGGAAATAACACACGTTCCTATAGGCAAGAAAGCCATTCTACATTGGACTCTATTCAGAGTCCTTAATCCATGTCTGGTTAGGTGCCAGAGACACAGAGATCTAGTAACTGTCTAAACCTTTCCTTTAAGGCAGTGGTCCCCAACCTTTGGCCTCCAGATGTTCTTGGACTACATCTCCCAGAAGCCTTCACCACCACCTCTGGTGGCCAAAATTTCTGGGATTTGAAGTCCAAGAACATCTGGAGTCCCAAGTTTGGGGACCACTGATCTAAGGGAGATGCAGGATTCTGGCAGGAGGAGACAGAAAAGGAAGCACTCTTTATCTCTAAGGAATCATTCCCCAAAGACTTCTTTCTGTACTGAAAATGCATGTACTACATCAGATTGATCAATACTAAAGATCAGTATGAAGCTGTTTTACTGTACTTGTGTTTTTAATATTGCTTTTATTTAGAAGTTTAAATATTATGTTTAATTCTTCTTTATAACTTTAACAACTTGTTATTTTTGCTTTTAACTTTCTTTCCTTTATACTGTAAGCCAGCCTGAAGCCTTCAGGAGAAAGGTGGTATATATAACTATTTTAAATAAATAAATAAATGTCAAATTTATTAGGCAATCCTGTAACACTGGCTTTCTATTGCATTCACCAACCCATTCACAAGATGACAGTTACATTTGGCAAATCAATATTTTGCCCTAAAAGTCAAATGAAGAGCCCTGTGGCACAGTGGTTAAACTGCAGTACTGCAGTCGAAACTCTGCTCATGACCAAAGTTCAGTCCCAACAGGCTCAGGTTGCTGGGTCAAGATTAACTCAGCCTTCCATCCTTCTGAGGTCGGCAAACTGAGTATCTAAGCTTGCAGTGGGCAGGTGGCAATGTGTACCCTACATAATTAAAGTGCTTTAAGCACTATGGGGTAGTATAAAAGAAACATGCTTTTTTTACAAAAATCCCAAGATAACTGTCAAGTCTATATGCCAAAATAGGAATCTATTTGCTATCAAGACAGCTTTTCCAAGTTTAGCAGAGCATTCATACTAGGTCATTGCAAAGAGATTCCTGCTTACTATAACTACTCCCCATTTGTCTATTTACAACCCTGTATGCACTGATTTTCATTTCCTTTCAACTAAACCAATCAGCATTCTAGCGTTGGAAAGACTCCCTGCGATTTCAAAGACTGTAAAATAAGGAACAGAGCAGGCCAGTTTTCAACCAGCTTTCTGTATTCCCAAGCTGACCAAAGAGAAAGGGGTTTTCCTTCTTCCACAGCAGCAACAAAGAAATCAACTAGAGAAGGACAGACTAGCCAATCCCTTATTGACCAAGCATGTCATAGATTTTAAGAGTTTCTATGATGCGCAACAGCAACAAAGAAACCAACTAGGCTACCCTGAGAAGGACAGACTGGCCAATCCCTTATTGACCAAGCCTGTCATAGATTTTAAGAGTTTCTATGATGCCTGAATGAGTTGTTACATCCAAGGGTGTTTTAGTTTACAACATTTACAGGCATCAATTGTTTCAAGGCTTACACCTCCTGCTGTTCAGGATCAAAGGAGGATGAAAACAAATGAATGGGAGAAACCCAGGGCTTCAGTTGTGCCTGGACCTTTTTATGTAAGTAAGTACTCAAAGCAGAACACATTAAAAAAAACTTGACACCACAAAAGCAACTTCATAAAAGACAAGAAACAAGAAATCTACAAATTCAGCATCATTTCCACAAAAACCTGGGAGATACAGTAGTGGCTGTATCTTTGCTTGTGCATAAGCAAAATCCAGCACAATTGAACAGAGCGCTCCTAACTCCCCCAACGAGCTCCAGAGAGGACGTCAGTGAAGAAGCAGATGACTCAAAACCCTACTGCCAGCTTCTCAGAAAAATTTAGTCCTTTTTTGGAGTCAAACAGATTAGCAACTTGCAGTAATATTAATCATACCTTTCTGTAGAGGGTGTTTCAGATATTGAGTAACACCCCTGAAAAGACCCAAACTCTAGACGAAACCTATAGAACATCAGAAAGAAGGGGTAGCTTTCCCTTTCCATTTAGGTATGACAACAAGTGGTTTTAATGTTCATTAGTTTGTGCACTGTTTGTGATGGGAAAAAAGTTTGCTTAAAAAAATAAAATAAAAGGCTTTCCTAACTTTTATGCCTTCCATGGCCTACATTATTAAGGCAAGTATTCCCCCCCTCCCCCCCCAGTTTCACCATGAAACAAAACCAGCCTCCTATTCACTCCTTGCATCAACATTCTTCTCCTTTCATTTGTTCCTGTGGTTTCATTCCTGGCTGACCGTGGACTGACGCTGAGATCACTTTCCTCCCACAATGGACAGGGAGTTTCGGCGGACGTGTGTGTGTGTGTGTGTCACAGCCAGCATCAGCCATCACACTTCCTGGGTGGGGGTGGGGGAGCTTATTACTTTCCCCAGAGTCAGACACACCTATAACTTAGGCTTCCTTCCAGGAGGCACCCAAGAAAGCGTGCCACATGGAGCACAAACACTTATGGCAAAGAAACACCCTCCCCAGAGGTCATGAAACTAGAACTGCAGAAAAGGCTTAGGGTTTGAATTACTGCACAAGCATTTCCAATCATTTCATAGGCTTCATGTTTACTTTGCAGGAGGGTGGTTAGATGTCAAATACACGCCCTGCCATGTATTCCACAGGCGGATAATAGAAAAGGTGGCAAAAAAGCAGACCAAGTCATAACTGAATATAATTATTTCTTTGGGACCCACCGGTTAACCCCAAACATCAGCCTGGAACAAATAACTTTTTCCTCCTTAAAAGCTACTGCTTTACGGGACACTACAAAATTACAAATAAAACGAGTCGCCAAGTTCTCCCTAATTCTTCTTAAGGTAAATATGATTTAAACCTTGCAGATATGCCAAATCATTCAAAAACTGGGCCAGATGTGATGTTCTAGCAGCTGTGACCAGGAAATAGTGTACAAAGAAAAAGCAACAAGGCCTCAAGCTACAATATGAAGTTTATCCAGTGGGAAGGGAGCCCATGAGACAAACTAGATCTTCAGCCAAGGAAGGCTATCCCCAGAGGGGCTACAGAGAAAGAACTTAACTCCATAAAGAGAAATAATAAGTTAAGATTCAGTGGCTGATAATGAAGCATGGTGGAAGATGTCAGGAAGTACACCTGTTTCCACAGAAGTACCAGAAATCTTGCTACCAAGATACAGTATGGCTTGAATGATGGGACCCCAGGAGTAGAAGGCAGAGATTTCAAGCTGATCTGGGTTAGCACACAGTGTGTGTCATGGTGGAGCCTTACAATACCAGGTTCTGATATGCATGGAGGGCATCATTTTACAAAAATACACAAGGAAGTTAGATTAGGGAATCACACCATGAATGAAAGTAAGGTCAAAAGCAGAATACAGACTTATGGGGCAAGCCAAGGCACATGGGAGATTCAAGGACTACTAGCAGAACAAAAGGAATGGAGGAGTACATAAGGGTAAGATCCTGAACATGCAGCTCTGGTGGCCAGAAGCCGCTCCCAAGCGCAGGTGGAACAAGAGAAGGCCAAATCACTACACAAAACTCTGGTTACAGCAATATACCAGACTTTCCCCCAACACATGCCCTTGAGATATGTTGGATCAAAGCTCCCATCTGGGTCCAGCAGGCAGGAGCCACCTTAGACATTTCTCCACCCTTGTCCCCTCTCCCACAGCATCCAGTTTCTCTCCCACAAAGCACAGGTGCCTTTAAGACAACAACAGAACAAGGAAAGAACAAAAAAACAAGTGCATTCTTTCCCACTCAGGAAACAAGCAAACACACACACACACAGACAAAAATCTGGAAATCAGGAACAGGATACACCCTTTGAGTTTCTGCCTGCCACAGAACCACGATGGCAAGCCCCAGTAAGGGCTGCTTTGGGAAATGGGGCCAGCTTTGCCCTTTCCTCCTTACCAAGCAGCCACACCTTAGATCAGGTGAATGTTTTCCAGCAGCAACCACAAGGCAAAAACACTCCCAAAGGAAGCCAGAAACTTTTGCGCTCCTGTAATTTTTTTTGGGGGGGGGGAAGAGTCCGAACAAAAGACGGCGACCTGGGAAAGGCCAAAGGGAGGCAGAGCTGCCCCTTTCGGCCAATCAGCGCTCGAGTTCCCCCCCTCCCCTGTACCCTAAAGCAGGAGACCCCGGAGCGTTTCCCCCTCAGAGGCGGGTGGCGGGGCCCCCAGAGCGGTGGGGTTCATGTCGCTCGCTCTGAGAAAGGGGGGGAAAATAAAACCGCCTTAGTCAGTTTTTCTTCTTTTACCTGGTCTCCAGGCGCTGCCCAAGAGCCACAGGAGCGTCAGCGCGGCTGGCCCAGGCGGCGTCGGAGGCGTCATGTCCACCCCCCCTCCGCAGGGACCTGACAGAAACGGTCCTCAGGCAAAAAAAAAAGGGGGGGATTGATGAAGGCGGGATGGGCAAATTCAGTCCCCACTTCTTTCTTCCTCCTCCTTTTGGGGCTCTTCACTTAGTTCCTGGAGTGCCAAAAGCCCGCCTGAAGTTCCCTCAGGCGCGCCCGACTCGCTGCCCAGCCGCTCCGAACTCTGCGCTCGGTTCAGGTGCAGCTCTGGCTCCCCGCCCGGAGCATGGACGCTACCAACTCCTACGGAGGTGGGAGGGGAGGACAACCTCTGAGGGACGGCTTAAACTCTGGAACACTTTCTGTGAGGAAAAAAAAGTGTCTTGTCTTGCCCTTTGAGTCACGTTTAGAGCAAGGTGGCTTTTTCAAGAACGCTGGCGAATAAACTCCCTTGGGCGCAGCCTCCCTATTTGTGAAAGTGGTTTGGCCCTCCGTCTTGTTGGAATGCCTTGGGAGAAGGCGCCAAATTACTTGGGAAAAGGGGGGGAAGGCGAGGGGAAAGTTTCTTCAGCCCAGAAAGAACCAGGAAAAGGCTGTGTGGGTCCCAAAGATTACGCAGATTAATATGTGATTAATATCTTTTAATGGACCAGTAAAAATCAAACAAGTGCCAGCTTTCGTGGAGAAAATGCCATTTTCATAGCCCTCCTGTCTTCCCCTCTTTAAATGAAAGTGGACTCAACCCAGGTATGGATTAGGAGGGCGCTGGGATAAAAGCAGTTTTTAAAAAGTATGAGAAAAGAAAAGGGATTGGTGTCGGTCAAGGGCGGTTGGCTAAGGAGCTTTGCCATTGGGCAGCAAGTAATTTAAAAGCAAGGCCTTACCCTGAAGAAAGGAAGAACGGTTGCTTTTGACCAGTAGGGTTGGCGTTGGGAATTTTGTTGTTTAGTCGTTAGGTCATGTCCGACTCTTGGTGACCCCCATGGACCAGAGCACGCCAGGCCCTCCTATCTTCCACTGCCTCCTGGAGTTTGGGCAAATTCATGTTAGACAGTTTTGATGACCCTGTCCAGCCATCTCATCCTCGGTCATCCCCTTCTCCTCTTGCCATCACACTTTCCCAACATCAAGGTCTTTTCCAGGGAGTCTTCTCATGAGGTGGCCAAAGTACTGGAGCCTCAGCTTCAGGATCTGTCCTTCCAAATCATGAGTGAATCTGAATCTACAAATCAGGTCCCAAATCAAATCAACAGTTTGCCTGGCCCATCGTCTAGCACAAAAGTGCTTTCTACCCCTTCCTTCTCTTCATCCTGCAGCTTTTCATGCTGCTCCAAAATCTGCCCTGGAATGAGAATGAAAAGATAACAAGTAATGAGCAATATAACAGACATAAGTAACAACGTGAACAACCATGAAGTATTCTTTATTTTAACAGTAATGAAGGGCATTAAATGAGTTACAAGAAAGTAAAATCTGTCACTGCCTCCATCTCTTCCCCTTCTATTTGCCAGGAGGTGACAGGACCAGTGGCCACGATCTTAGTTTTTTTGATGTTGAGCTTGAGACCATTTTTGTGCTCTCCTCTTTCACCCTCATTGAGAGGTTCCTTAATTCCGCCTCACTTTCTGCCATCAGAGTAGTATCATCTGCATATCTGAGGTTGTTGATATTTCTTTTTGCAATCTTAATTCTCACTTGGGACTCCTCCAGTCCTGCCTTTCGCATGATGTAGTCTGCATATACTGTAAGTTAAATAAGCTGGGGGACAATATACAGCCTTGTCGTACTCCTTTCCCAATTTTGAACCAATCAGTTGTTCCATATCTAGTTCTAACTGTTGCTTCCTGTCCCACGTATAGATTTCTCAGGAGATAGATAAAGGTGGTCAGACACTCCCATTTCTTTAAGGACTTGCCATAGTTGGTTGTGGTCCACACAGTCAAAGACTTTTGCGGGAATTTTAGCTACCTAACTATTTCTCCTATTAAGAATGTGGCCAGGTTTTAGACTACAGCTGCCAGAATTCCCATCCAGTATGTCTCTAGCCAGGCTGGCTGAGAGATTCTGGGAACTATAGGTGGAAAAACAATATTTTCCAAGCTTTGTTTACAATTTTTTAAAAAATTGTAGATATGTGTTCTTGAGACATGCTGATACAATGAAGCATGTCAGGAGATGGGCTCTACTGTACCACCAGAATACTATTTTAAAAAAACCCAACAGCACTGGTTGAGAACACTCAAGTCTCTTAGAACACTCCATTTTGACTTCAAAGAGGCTATTTTGGAGTAAAAGAACTTTGAAGAACTTCCAAACAGAAACAACCAGAGGTCCAATTTTATTGCCTCATCAAGGTGTTTGATCCTGTTGCTTATAACATGAATAGGGACTAAGATTTTTCATTTCAATGTGTGTTAATTGCATTTCTGATCACTATTTGTGACTTTGAAAGCTCAGCAGAATAGAAAGCTGACGGAGAAAAAAATGACTTGTTTTAAATGTGCCGGGAGAGAATTCTGTGGATATCCTGGACTGCCAGAAAGACAAACCAGTAGGTCCTAAATCAAATTAAGCCTGAACTAATCTCTGGAGACAGTGTTGAAGCTCAGGCTGTCCTACTTTGGGCACCTCATGAGAAGGCAAGATTCTCTTGAAAATAATGCTGGGAAAGCTGGAAGGCAACAGGAGAAGAGGAAGACCAAAGACAAGATAGACTATCTCCCTCAAGGAAGTCTCTGGACGCGGAGCAGGACTCTTCAGGACAGGACATTTTGGAGATTGCTCATTCATAGAGTCAACATAAGTCAACGGTGATTTTACAGCACAGAACAACATGATGTGTGTTAATCGGACATCTATTCTGAGATGTCCAGTATCACCAACCAAGATTTATTTTTGTGTAATGGCCACTATTTAAACAATGTCATTGTCCTTAATCTTTGTGTTTCTGTCCCTGCTGACTGCAGTCGTGCACCCACAAATTTCTTTGTTTCCAAGCAGAGTTTGAGCCAGGCCTCCTGAGTCCTAGTCTGGCACTCTGTCTATTGCACCACCACTGCTCTCTCACTATAACAATAAAGAACAATCGGGATGGATGAACTGCATAGACTGCCTGAGCTCTCTGGAACGCAACATAAACCAATAGACCCAGTTTTAAAAGAGAATGGCTTGGACCAGACAATAACAGCCCTGCCTCAACCATAGAATTTTGCTGCTCATTATGACATCATCCTTGTGCCTACCTCAAAGATGATGTCACACTGAGATCAGCTAGGATTTTCCTATATAATCCCTTTAGTGGGTTAGTGCTCGGGCAGCCATGTCCTGTGGAGCACCTTGTGTGGCTTTTTTCCTGGGTTGGATATTTGTTGTCACTGAAGCTAACTTGTATGAGGGCCATTCACTGGGATCATCATGTCTTCCAGGCTACCCTTGCACCCTTGCCTTTATCTCCGACAACCCCGTGATCCTGCGTTGTCCTTACGCACATCCTAGAGCTCAAGTATCCTGGCAGTACCTCGATCCAAGGTGGACAAATGAGCAACCGATCACCTTTCTGCGCTCAGAGAGTTCCTCTTGGCCTTCGCTTAGCCATGCCAAGTTGATGCGGTTCTGGTTCAGATCCCGACTAATTGCTGGCCATCTGTACATCCCAAGCCCCAGCGTCAAGGACTCTGGAGTATATACCTGCCAGGTGGGCGATGCCACCATTGCTTATTACAATGTGGATTTCCAAGATGCTGGGCACCTCCACGTCTCACATGCTAGCCTTGGAGGGACCGTTTTGGACAATGTTACAGTCGAGCTAGAAAATGGAACACGAGCTGAGCTGTTCACCTCCTGGAGTCCTTGGCAAGCTTGCGATCGGTGTAGCCGTTTGGGAGAAAGGAAGCGAGTGGGTTTTTGTTATGCCCAAGTGACCAAGAGTGACCAGGAGGTAGAGAAACCTCTGCCCTGTGGGATAGCCAGGAGAAAGTATCCCATGTTACCACAACGTGGACCAGAGCTAAGAATGGAAACCTGTCAGGTGCCTTGTGACACTCCAGAAAAACCCAACACTGCGTCGCTTCTGGTCTTTACCACCTTACATCCCCAGCCCATGTCCGTTGCTCACCTGCGTTGCCCATCCTCTTCCATCTACAGGTAGAGTCTTGAAGCTCAGATCTATCTCTTTCAGGTAGCCTCACGGAGCCTCATGGTAGAGTGGTTAAAATGCAGTACTGCAGCCAAGACTCTGCTCAGGACTTGAGATCAATCCCAACAGACTCAAGTCAGCGGCTTGAGGTTAATTCAACTTGCCATCCTTCCAAGGATGGCAAATTGAGTGCCCAGCTAGCTTGCGGCAGGGCAATGTGTAGCCTGCATAATTAAATTGCAAACCACCCAGAGAGTGATTTGGGGAGGTTTATAAGCAGCACACTTTGCTTTCAATTCTCAAGCAGACCTCTCAAGCTGTCTAAGGTGCTCCTGGGATTTTATTGAGTAAATGAATCAAGGCCAAAAGAAGAGGAGAGAGTTCTGGTACCTTTAAGAATTGTGCAGGAAAATAAGCTTTGGCTTTTTCTCACCTTATTGTGACTTGATACATCTGCTGACATGCTTTGGTCTCTACAGCTATTGATGGTACCGAAGCTTTGTCCTCAACATCTGGTTGAAAACAGCTACTGTTTCCAAACCTGCAAGGCTGGCCTGTGAAGCAAACGTCCTTGCTTCAAAGCCCACGTCTTCCACTAGCTGCTATTAACTGGTTTGTCTTGTTTAGCTCTCTTCTTTAGCCTCTCTTTTTCAATCTGTGATATGAAGATATAAATAAGAATAATAATGCAGCTTGTGAAACACTGTTTTGTGCAAACAACAGTGCTTTTCAGAGTGCATTGTAGTTTGGAGGATAAACTCCAACCCTGTGGTAACCGGGATAATGCCCCAGAAATGTCGGGTCTCTTTGGAGAGAAAAATGATGTACAAAGGAAACAAATGAATAAAATAACATTTGAATCCTCCAAACAAGGGATGGGGAATGAGTATACTGTAAGTCTTGATTGTGTGAATGGTAAAGGCATTTGCTGTTCTGCCTCGGGCAGCAAAATGTCTTGGGTGGGTCCCGGCTCCATTCCCCTCGCACTCCTTGTCTCCTCCAGGCAGAATGCTGCACAAATGCAGAGAGAACAGGCCGGTCTGCTTTTGCACAGGCCTTTCACTTTAGCATTCAATTTTAACCTCTCTGTGCGCTCAGATAGCCATGCTGGTTAATGATTGACAAGCTAGAGAAAACTTTCCCCTCAGGACGTTATGCCCAGATCCAGTTCTGTCACTTATAGCTAGCATGTTGAAAAAATAATAATAAAACACGTCGTCTCCAACTCTGTGGTGGAGCAGGAAATGGATATTCAGGACAGCAATAAAGATATGGGATCAAAGTCAGAAATTTCTGGAGCATGTGGGTAATGTGACTTCCACAACCATAACAGCAGCCTCTTAGGTTTGCAGCATTAAGAAACTTCAATTACAGTAGGACCACAGTATTCACAGAGGATGGGTTCGAAGACACACACACACACCCCAGTGGGTGCCAAAAAACACAAGTATAGAATGCCATACATCGCATGGTCTCTGACTCCCTTTGGTGGCCAGTTCTAGTAAATGCACCCTGGAAATACATGTTTAGTTTTTAAGTTGTGTCTGACTCTTCATGACCCCATGGACCAGAGCACGGCAGGCCCTCCTGTCTTCCACTGCCTCCCGGAGTTGGGTCAAATTCATGTTGGTCGCTTCGATGACACTGTCCATCCATCTCGTCCTCTGTCGTCCCCTTCTCCTCTTGCCCTCACACTTTCCCAACGTCATGTTATTTTCCAAGGATTCTTCTCTTCTCATGAGATGGCCAGAGTATTGGAGCCTCAGCTTCAGGATCTGTCCTTCCAGTGAGGGTTGATTTCTTTCAAAATGGATAGGTTTGTTCTCTTTGCAGTCCAGGGGACTCTCAAGAGTCTCCTCCAGCATCACATAGAATTGGAAATACATAGAAATGTGTATTTCTGAGGTTTTTTATCTAGCATTTCCGGACAGCAGATAAATGATTCAGTGAATGCTGGTACTGCAGATAGTGAGGTCCTACTGCATCAGTAGATCTGATTGTGATAATTATTTTCCTGCCCTTTCTGGCTGTGGCCCAAGCTAGTAGGACCTGATTGGATTTGCAGCCCAAAACACCTGCAGGAAAAAAGAGGAAAGCAGATATAGAATCAAAGAGATAATGCTTTTGACTCCAAATTATTCTCTTAGTCATATGTACATCTGTCTATCCCAGGATGATATTGCTACTATTCACACACCTAGCTGTTTTCTATCTGTTTGTCTATCAATCCATATTTCAGAGGACTATCAAAGTACAGTGGATAGGGGGATATTAGAAAGAAATGCAGTAGAAACAAATACAGTACATTAATAAAATTGTGGCTGAAATTAATTGCAAAATGAGCATCAGAAAAGCACAGTTTTCAGCAAAAAGAGAAGCACAGACAGAAACTCATTCCATAGGATGGCAGCTCATACATGTAAAGCCTTCCTCCGGGTCAGCTTAAACAGTTCTCAGAGGCACTGGGTGAGCCCTTGCAGGAGATTGTAGGGACTGGGTAGAATGATAAGGAGAAGACATGTTCTCAGGTCTCCTGATCCAGCAAAAGGCAGCCAAGTTAGAGCTTGCAGCAAAGCAGATCTTGGAGGGAGACCTGACAACAGCCTGGTGCATTGCAGAAATAATCCGCTCTTGCAGCTACCAGTTAACTGTACCTCTGTGGCCATACTCTCCCTGTGCAAGGCTATCTAAGAGATTATAGCTCACGCTCATGCAGTTTAATTAGCTGTCTTTATTTTTGAAAAGTTGAGAGTCTGCCCATTTTTACCCTGCTGCATTAAGAACTGTATTTTTTCCCCTTTATCTTCTTCAGCCCTGTCTACTGGCAAGAAGGCCTAACAAAGCTGACCCACTTTGAACTTCTCCAGAAGAACAGCTCCCAGAGCCTGGATAAAGCCACTGGTGGTGGGATTCTCCACCTCACCTTCCAGAACGGCTCGCAGAGCACTGTCTACTGGTGCTATGTCAATGGGCACCTGGTGGGCAGGTTTTTTGTCACTTCCCCTGCTGCTGTGCCAGCTCCCAAGGAGCTGGCCCGCTCTTATTCCTCCATTGAAGCACTAGTCGTGGGATTATCCATCTTCCTTGTCTTCATGATGTTCCTTAGCATCATCCAGTCCTGCCGGAGAAAGCCTGAAACCACCATTGTCTAGAAGAGGTGCATGAAAACTTCATGGATACCCCAGGAAAGGGGATGCAGACTAATAAAGATATCGACTGGAAGTTCAATCAGAGTCATGGTTGAAACTCTCCATGTTCCTCTCCAGCTCGGAGCTTGGAAAAGTTGCTTATTGGTCTTTTTCAAACTACCGAAATTTGCTGTTTTGGGGCTACTAGTCCTGCTTGTTGTGGATTTTGGTATCTGTTGTCCAAAAAAAGCAAAATTTCCAGGCTTGAAATGAATTGCTGGCTGCACTGTTTCTGTATGGTGCTATGAATCCTGGACTAACACTACACAGCGATGGCAGTTTGATACCACTTCAGTTGCCTGTTTTGTTTTCTTTAGTCTGGTTGGGAAGGTACGTGGAAAACACCTCCAAACTACAGAAAGAATACAAAACACCTCTTCAAACTACAAGGTTCTGTAAGGTGGAGCAATAACACTTGCAATGTGGTATCAAACTGTTGTAATTGTGAAGTGTTGACATACTCTAGAGCAGTGGTCCCCAACCTTGGGCCTCCAGATGTTCTTGGACTTCAACTCCCAGAAGCCTTTAGCACCACCTCTGCTGGCCAGCACCACCTCTGCTGGCCAGGATTTCTGGGAGTTGAAGTCCAAGAACATCTGGAGGGCCAATGTTGGACAAGCCTGCCCTAGAGGGCCAAATTATATACCACATAGAAATCATAGAAAAGTGAAGTTGGAAATGGCCTACAAGGCCATCAAGTCCAACCCCCTCTGCTCAAGGCAGGAATACTATCAGAACGTATCTGACAGAGGGTTGTCTGATTTTCTCAAAAAAGTAGTAGTGAGAAAGTGTGCTTTCACACTGCCGAAAGAGCCTTTATGTGGAGCTGTACACTCACCACCGTGGCACTAGAGGGTGCTGTAACACATTATATACCACATAGAAAAGTGAAGTTGGAAATGGCCTACAAGGCCATCAAGTCCAACCCCCTCTGCTCAAGGCAGGAATACTATCAGAACGTATCTGACAGAGGGTTGTCTGATTTTCTCAAAAAAGTAGTAGTGAGAAAGTGTGCTTTCACACTGCCGAAAGAGCCTTTATGTGGAGCTGTACACTCACCACCGTGGCACTAGAGGGTGCTGTAACACAAATGTGCCCACTGGCAGTTTCGTGAAGATGCAGAATGTTGGATATAGGAGAAAAATGCATACAGTTCTAAAGTATTCTTCCCAGCAGTAACCTTGCCTGAAATATCGTGACTTCATCAGAAAAAAATATATATATTTTGAGTTAGCAGAACAAGCTACAGCTGAGCTGCATTGTAGAGTCAGATCTTCAGCACTAGAATACTTAGTAGAGAACATTTTAATTTTGAAGAGAAACCATATACAGACTTCTCATTCTAAGAGAATAAAAAGTCTTGTATTTATTATTTGGACATTGGGTGAACACTGAGAAATACATTAGGAGAGGAAAAATGATAGGATGCCTAGTTCTAGCTAGTGGCACATTTAAGTCCCCCATGTCAAGTTCTGATTCTAATGGAAATTAACCCAACTTCCAGCGAAGGTGGTTGTTCTTCCACTTTGTACTGCCTTTTTAACAGGTTCCCAGACTGGGCCCTCTCCAAACCCCTGGTCTACTTTTTTTACCACTTAGGATACTAAGCTCACCAATTGCAGACCATGCGTGTGATGGAAAACAGAAGTTCTTCACCCCCTAGCTGGAAGCTTTCATTTTCAATTATTTTTAATACAGGAACCTGATTGGTGTGGTTCAGATGGAAATAGAGGAACACTCCAGAGAGGTAGAAGTCCCAGAGAAAAAGTTTGCCCTATTGCAGATTAGCAATATACCACATCCTGTATTGTAAATTGTAGTTTAGAGAAACTACAATTTACAATACAAAAGCCATCGTGCTTCAGTTCAGCTCCACGATCTGTTGAACTTAATACCTTTGGAACAAAGTATCTAGTGCAGTGGTGTCCAACCTTGGACCTCCAGATGTTCTTAGACTACAGCTCCCAAAAGCCTTCACCACCACCTCTGCTGGTCAGGATTTCTGGGAGTTGAAGTCCAAGAACATCTGGAGGGCCAAAGTTGGACACCACTGATCTAGTGCCTGGGTTTGCTTTTTTCCTTCTCCCTCCCAGTCCCTTTTCCTTTTATGTCATGTCTTTTAGATGGCAAGCCTACAAGCAGGGACTGTCCAGAACTGGATATTTGTTAATATTTTTGGCAGCCGTTTTTTTGGTTAATGAGTGAGCTACACATACAATAAACTAAATAAACAACCAATAAAATGGGAGGGCACCAGGTTAGAGACAATTTAGCTTCTGACCTAACTCTGCCCACCAGCCAAGGGGGTCAAGTAGGTCCCTGAGGAGTTGTTAATCACAGGTGAGACGTCTCCCACTTGTTTACAAAAGTCAGGGAAGAGCATGGATGTAGCAGCTGGGGGAGATGGGATCATTCAAGTCAGAACATGCTGGGGCTAAGAAAGGGTCAGTCCCAGCCTAGCCGAAACCAGAGACAATAAGCCAATTCTCTGCTCCCAACTGGAACAGCTTCGCAGCCCCAGTGAACATTCCCTGCAGCCTTTGTCTCTGCAGTGAATCACTGTTGACTGACTCATGGCCATCTCACAACCACCGTCTTTGTGTCCGGCTCCCAGGATGGCACAGCAGGGGACTGACACCGCTCTCTCGCCCAGTGCCAGGAACAGCAAAGTGAGCGAGAAGAAGACTCGGCCTTCCCACCAAGGAAATATGTCTCTCTGCTCTTCCTTCCTTCCTTTCTTCAGGACAGGGAGGGGGGGTCTAAGCGCTGCCCTCCAAATGTTGCTGGACTGCAATTCCCATCAGTCCTAACCAGCATAACCGGTGGTGGGGCGCGCTGGGAAATCCAGTCCTACAACTTCCAGAAAGTGGCATTTTGCCCACTTCTGTTTTAAAAGAATCCGAGGCTTGGTCTGAGCTCTTTTAGTTTAATATCCCAGCTGTGGGTGGCTGGTGACTCCCAATCTGGAGGTGCTGTGAACCCACCCCAGGTTTTCCTCCCCTCTTTGCAGGACTTCACCAAGGCATCTCCTTGGAGACACGGTTTAGCACCTTGGACAGCTGCCTCTGAAACTGGCCATCAATGGCGACCGTGCTGTGAACCCCCAAGGCAGAATTTGGAGAAATTACAGGTAGAACACAACTCTCAGAATCCCCTGCTGTTTGATGGGGGATTATGGGCTTTGGAGTCCAAGAAAGCCACTTTCCCAAGTGGGAGGCATGAGTGGGAGGCTATGACCACCTTCTGCACTCTCCTTATTTTATTTATTGATTTGATTTGATTTCTACCCCACCCATCTGGACCAAAGGTCTGCTCTTGGTTTGGTTCAAGCCAAATAGCCAAGTCTTCAAGGGGCAAGGCTGAATGGAACCAGCTCTCGATTTCAGCTTTCTCCAGGCATACTCAACATGAGCAGCAGCGCATGGTGGATGAAGTCACTTTTTCAGCCAACGGAGATGAAGGGACAGCCGAGGAACACAGGTGCTCGGGTATATGCACTGTGGCTGTATTATCACAGGATGGGGGCCTCATCTTCTAAGGGCTGGGCAAGCGCTCACACAATGACACATGCTCATTAGCATACCAATGAGCCACATTTAAATAGTAAATGACTAGCCAAACAAAGCTGAAGAAATACATTACTTTGATAGTGCCCGTCCCCAGCACAGACCAAATTACAGCTGTGCATGGGTCTCCCAATTTCATTTGGAGGCCATTTGTGGACTTGGGAATGTAGCCTTGTTCAATTCAATCTGCCCCCTGGATCCATGTTGATTTGTGCGCCTCCAGTTAGTTTGTATGGGGGGAAAAAAAGGTGATACTCGTATTGTTGCTCTTTTTTGCACCGATGCACTGGAAATCTGGAGACAAGACAGACCCTAAAGAGAGGATTAAACCTGCCAAATGTCAGACTGCTAGTTCCAGGGGTTTGCACACAAGGGACTTCCTACTCCAGAAACATTTACATTAGTTGTACATTTGCTCTGTTTTTGCCCTGGAACCAGATCTGGCTCCTCTGCTTTGATCTGGACCTCCTCTAAGGGAGCTTCCATCCAATGAGCTGGAGACAGAGGCTGACCAAAGTGAAGAATACAAAGAGGAAAGAGGAGAGAGACCTTATCGAGCCTCATCCAATCAGCATGGCCAAAGGATCCATTGACAGGGAAATTACCTTATGGGAGCTGAAGTCCTTTCTTCTTTAATGTCATTGCTCGGCAGGCCCATGGAACAGAGAGTCTACAAGTCCCAAGGGCTTGCTCAGTGTATGTTGCAGCACGCTGAAAGTCATCACAAAGAGAGAAGGTGAAGCAGCAATCCATCTATTGCTCTTCATTTCCTGTTCAGTCGCTCCATCTCAAGGTGAGAGCGGTGCCATCATTAGATCCTTTGGGGTCTGTTCCTCACCCCTTTTGCTGTGTCCTTTATCAGTTTCTGATCATAAATGGAAAGGAACACGTCCAGCCTGCTTTTTGGAAAGGATCGTGCATGTGTACAGCTGTTGCATTTGGGAAAATGACCTTCTGGATGACAGCTCACAAAATCTCTAGCCAGCAAGCCCAACTGCTGTGCAGGCTGGGAGATTATGGGAGCGGGCTTCCAGAAAGTAACTTTTCCAAGGTCTGCTCTATGTTATTGTGATGTTGGTTGTAGCTAACAGCGGCAGCAGTGACTCACCAAGGCTCAGCCGAGGCATCCGCTTCTGGTCCCAGGGCTGGATCTTGGAACGAGTGGGGTTTGGAACAGAAGGCAACGCTCCTGAGCAAGTACAGAGTGCATTTCCTCAGCCACTGAGTTTTAGAGGGTGAGGTTTCTAGACAGAAGGATCCCAGCAGGCTTCTTGTACAGACGCTCCCTGCTGTTCTGTGGCAGCCAATTTTAATCTCTAGGCTGAAACTAAAATATGGAGGCTGTTGGTCTTTGAGACCTTTTGAACCCACATGTTTATCCTGGCCTCCTACACCCATTAGCCCAAGCTGCAGGCATCAGAAGGGAAGGATGCTGGCACTTCTTTGGGTCTGCGTTCCAAGTCCAGCTCCAATTTCTTTACAGCGACTCGACTCCTCCTCCCCCTGTCG